AATCTCTTTTCACGTCCGTGAAGTAACTAGTGATCTTATCGACGAGTTTCTCTCCATTACAAAGCGATCGAAATGTGACATTTGATAGATGTTTGCCTCGTTCTAATATTATTTTAGCATCGTCCACCTATTTAATTACAATATCAAATAGTTTGATATGACGACGTAGTTTCAAACCAATAGAATTGCGAGTTATCAATGTCATATCCGCATCATTATAATCATTGCACATTATTCATATCGAACGAAGATTTCATGCTCACCTGAAGAGAGTATTCATTGCGACATCTAAGCTTATAGCGAAATTGCACTCATACTAGAAATCCAAGCATATTATTTGAAGATTTGACAGATTAACAATTGTTGAAAGATGTTAAATTAAATCGATGGACCATTCTTTATCAATCATCAACGTAAGTTCTGTTACATTTCGAAATATATACTTCGTATTTAAATTACTTTAAAAATAAAAATAAAAATATTTTCTATGGCAAGCAAAAATTATAAAACCAATCTAGATCATTTTTGCTATGACATCAAGAAGTCTTATTAAAGAATCTCATATTTAAATGAAAGAACCTTATTTAAATGCAGTCTACATCAACATAGAAACTTAAAAAGCCACGTCTTAAACAAAAAGAATTTAATTTTTAAAACTCCCATACAAAAAACTTTCATTTCGGACAACCATAATGCAATGAAAGATTTACACAAAATATATATGTCTTTCGTATAAAATTCATTGAGAGGTCTAACAGTATTCGTATTAAATCAAAATATAGATGAAAAAGTTAATAATCATATAGTTATTGAACAATAAATGATCTGCACTTTTGAAAAGAAATGTTTGAGGTCATTTGCATTTTTCTCAAAATTTTGTGCAAAACATATTGAATCGGTTTCATCTGTTCGACATATTAAAATTGATACAACACAAATTTTTTTAGCTTTTTAACTAAAAATAATAATGATGATTATTTGATTATGTATTTACATGGTTGAGTAATGTTTTCATCAGTAAAATTAAAATATATTATAAATTAATTTTGTTCAATCTTTTTCAATCTGAAACTTTGCTCACACAGAAATCTTTATTACACTAACTTTTATACTAAATCATAGAACTTTCTGACGTATTGTTTCTGAAATATCCATTATTCAAAAGCTTCATACATTGAATTATATCAATAACAATGGAATAAGACGATAAACCTCGTCGAAATTGTTTAATTATTTTTTGAACCGTCCATTAAAATTGTTACGAGTTAATTACTCTCTATTATCAGTGAGATAATTATTTTATTTGATGAATATTCGAGAAAAAGTATTGAAGAATTTTATCATCGAGTTATTTTATAACACAAGTTGTATATTGGAGAAAAATGGGTGATAAGATGAATCACTTTTTCAGCATTGTTGAATCTAGTACAAATTCTCATTGCCGATTTGGATTCTTTTACAATTACGATCTTATAAAGTAGTAATAATCTATGGCGAATTTTTTTTCAGAAGAAAAAAACACGATTTGAAAATGCAAAATAATGTTTACCTTTTCTTGAATGTTTTAAGTCATTATTTGGCTTAAACCTAAGATTAATTGATGTGAGTTAACAACTATTGATTCATTGTTATCAATAGTTTTCCGTATGAAATTTAAGATTGTCGTTAGTCAATTAGAATAATCGAAGTCATCGCGAAAACTTGGTATCGAATAGAGATAAAGCTTCCGATCATTTTTGTCGTACTTGTAGTCATATTTAACAACCTAATATTTAATTTAAAGGTAGAATGGTGTTCGAAAATGGGACAATCGATGATTCCATAGTAGTACAACTTTGATTTGCGAGTGCAAGACAATTGAGGGTGTGGGTGTGGGTGTTGTTCTTTTTTTCAAAATAACACCCACACCCACACCCTGTCTACATTCACACTCTTCTGAAATACAAAACTCTGCCGAGTCTAGGAGAACTTCTTTAATACTTCATACTGAGTATGGCAGAATGAATCTCGACGAAAACTCCATTAGCAGGTAATACTTTTCGTCTCAAAAATCTAAAAATCTATTGGATAATCTATTGAAGGTATATTTATTAAGATTCTAACAGAGTAAATAGATCATACACATGCTTATCGTATATAAGTAATGACCATGTTAATCATCAAAAAAATTGTATCATCGTTGTTACAAATATTTCAAAAAGACTCTTTATAGTTCTAATATCTTGTGAACATGTGAGTTAGTTTGGCACAACAAATAAATACAAAGTATCTGTGTCATATGGACATGATATGTATTGAATAGTCAGACAATAATTAAAAGAATTGCTTCGAACTCGTTTCATTGATTGAACATAATACAAATATTTCCCATTAAACTATTTCACTAACCCACACTCAACTTTCTGCTACGAAAAAATTTAATTACTTGTGATTAATGTGGTACAGCAGTTTGAGAAATGATTGACATGCTTATAATGATTTCAGTCTTACTTTTATATTTCATAAATACAAGTTACATACGGTTGTCTTTAATTTAATTCATGAATGGCCTATAGAATTGAATACTAAAATCTCCGAGATATATTAAAAGGTTTTATTTTAAATTGAGAAATAAAACCTAATATTGTGGAAAATAGACTAAGCAAAAAAAAGAGCTTTCCATTATCAATTTACAATGTTTGAAATATCTGTTAAAAATTAAAATTCAAAAAACAACTTGTAAAATTCTTTCAACAGTACGATTACTTATATTGTAGAGCTCGTTGATTATACTCATCAGCTTTTTTGTCTACTCAAAAAGTTAGGAATGCACCAGCCCTAGTCGGACTGGACACGCAGCCATTGACTGGGTGCTCAGTCGTTTGATTTTAGTCCATTAGTGGAGAAGTAATTTTTTTCTTTTCGAGTACATTGTCATACAGCGATTTTTAGGCTCTTGGAGTACTTATGTAAGCTATAACATTGAATTGATCGATTAATCATATGTTTCCACGTATCAATCCTTATAATTTAGAATACTATAACTAAATTTCATACGTCTTCATTAAACTTTTCCGAGCTATCTATACAGACATAGTTTTCGTTTATTGTTATCTGTTGAGTTCTTTTCTTCGCTACAAATAATCCCTCTAGAAAATGGATTTCTATAACAGCTTGTATTAGAAAAATATTTCCTGTAAGATCGATACTGAAGTGAAAAATAGAAAAAGCCGAATTCATTGTATAAATTATCAATATGAATACGATTGAGTCGTGTATTAAATGGAAGCTTGTCATCGATCAAAATAGTATAATATCAGAAATTATAGTCATGAATATTCGGTTTATTATTTTAAATTTCAAATTGTATTTTCACTTTGTTAATAGTTCCTAGAACACTGCTTAGAACATCTTGCTTAGATTGGAGGTAAATAGATTTCGAATCAAACGAAGCTCGTTAAGACATTCCCATTCGGGGCTCAGATGTGGAATTCACATGTCTTCTTTGATTACAGCGCATCAATACAAAACATTTCCACACCTTAAGAAGAAATATTCTTCTTTGAAAGACGTATCTTGTTTTGTTCCTTTATTATTCTTAACTTTTTCGTGACTTTTCATTGTTTTATTTTATTTTTTTGCAATTTAAAACTTTCATTATGATAAGAACTGAATACAATCAGAAATAATGCCGCTGTAAATAATTATCATAAATCTGTAATGAAAAGTACCTGTAATGATGAATATCTGGGTGCAATGGACTGTAATGGAGTCGGAGAGACGCTGTAAAAACCTCGCCTTAAAACTGACGTTCCCCGTTTTCTTTGAAAAATATACAAGTTTCACAAACATTTGTTTTAAATTCATTTTACAGATCCATGTTGTATCTAGTTCACAGTTTTGTTTTTGATTTATTACAAAAAAATAAACTTAGAAGATGATTTTCAAAAATAATTATTTACTATCACAAACATCAGGTACGGAATTCTTCATTTTACTTTGTTATAAAATACTTTCTTCGTATGAATATATATATATATATGAATAGCAAGGGTGAGGTGTAGGTGAATGAAGAGAGCATCGAAACCCACACCCTTCTATACTCTGATACTTACAACAACAAAATACACAATAGTTAAATGAATGATCAGATATTACTAAAGAAAACATTCTTAAAGTATCATTAAGTCTCTCTAAATAGCTAATTCAGCTTTTGAAAAATGTGGTCACTACATATAGATGATTTCTATGAGTTATATAACGATTTGCTTGTTTTGGATCATAGTGTTGATGTTTTCGCATTCATTAATTAGTAGAATAATAACTATTCTATAGATATCCAAAAGAAACCTGTTGTTAATCTTCTTCCGAATTTGTTGTAACATCCTAAACTATGCAGATTTTGACAAGTTCAATTAATCTGTGTATACTATTTGAAAAATATACAAAAACTATTAAGTTCCATTTGATTGATAATTTCGTATATATATATATATTGAAGAGTATAATAGAGAGAAGCACTCTCAATGTTCTTTTTACTTCTACAATGTAAATTAAGTTAACACTTGTATTCCTCAATTTCTGTTTTAATAGCTGCTGTACGAATTTTTCAGGAAAAATGGATGAGATCGCCAAACTGGACGATTAAAATACAAGACAGCTATTTCAGTGTGAAATTCTCGATTCAATTCGATTCAATCTCGGAAATCCTTAAAATTTTTTCGAATCAAATGAATTTTCTTAAAAATCTTAGGAGATATGTTTTACCTAAATTTAATCTAACCGTTTGAGTTTAACAACTTATCCAACTCAACTGGATTCATTCATTTTATTTCCGAAAACTAGTTCCAATTTAAGTGTATATCGTTATTTATAATAAATTGTTGCTTTTTTTTCAATCCTATCGATAACTTTTCTAATAAAGAAATAACCACATACAACAAATTCTATTAACGATAGTTTTCTTGTTTATTTATAAATGAAAAGTATTCCACAATTTTATGTTTGATTAATAATAATTATCATTGCCAGAAATAGATATCTTCATAAAAATCTTGTGTTATTCTTTTTGCTTGATAATCATCAATAGTTTCCTTTGATTCCATAACAGCATCTATTGTTACAATTTCTTCTGAAGAAAAATCCGTGACACATATATAGAATAAACATCGAGTATTGTTGTTATTTTTCGATAAGAGATATCGTAAAATTCCTTCAAAATCATCATATACTGGACGCATTCTAAGACATTCTAATTGAGAACAAAGATGTATGAATAATTTTATTTCTTCAAATGCATATATTGAATTAATAGTTAAATTTTTAATTTTATTTCTAGTTGATACTAATTGAAAAATTTCAGTTTGTTGAATTGATAGTAATTCTTTCTTATCAAAACATATATCTTCAACACTCAAAGTATGAATATTCAATGTTAAATATAATAGTTCAATCATTGTTTTGAAGAGAAATGATTTAACATTGATATTTAATTTCGTAAGTTGTGTCAATGGAACAATATGATTGAGAATAATTGAAGGAGAATTTCTATTGACATTAATACTATTATAAGAGAGAGTCAGTTCAGTAGCATTTGGAAAATAATTTCTACAATCATCATCTATCGTTTGTTCTTGTTTGATATAAACATGATGAACGGAATTTATACTGTTTTTCTGATAATTTGATATCATATCTTTGTCTAGATTCCCATATAATGTATAAGATTTTCTTCTTCAAAGCAAAAATAATATGAATATATGCTATATAAATAATATTTGTCTATTATACCTATATGGATTTGTAGAAAAGAGAACTCGATAACAATCATCATCTGCTGATTCAAGAGTAAATGTGAAGAACCATTGTCGTTCAAGCCAAAACTGTGTTCGAAATGATTCAATCATGAAAATATCAGCTGTGTTAACATTTTTCTGTGGAAAATATTCCCATTGAATATAAAAAATTCGTAAATATGGTATGTAAGATAAAATCAATTTTTCCCATCGATTTGCATCTAAATATATTTTATCATTTGTAGTTGTAATATATAACACTTGAACTTGAAAAAAAAGATGTTTGATTAATATTTCAAATTGATCAAAAGTAATATTAATCATATTAAGAGATACATGTATCAAATGATTTAGTTTGATTGAACATGAAATTATTTGTTCGTTCGAACATTGAAATAAATTACCGAGAGACAAACGACGAAGTTGAGGAACATATGACAAGAGAACAGGTAGTTGATGTATATCAAATTCATTATTGATAATAAGATGTTCAATAGGACTATATTCATCAATTGAAATATGTAATGGTGATTCCATTAGAAGATAATTATTGAATGATATTTTACAATATTTTAACATCGGCAAACGAAATATTTCATGATAGAAATTTTTGTAACTCTTCCTTCATCTATATTAGAGATTATCAATGAAGATAGATATGGTCAAGAGATTAAATAAATGAGAAGATTTTGTAAATCATTTGATTGAATATTATATAAAATAAGAGTTTTAAGTCGAATTAACTTTGATATATTGCAGTTGTGCGTGAAAAATATATCAATAGAAAATGGATTTCATAGATGAAGTGATTTAATTCGATGTGTATTAGGTATAATAATTTGTTTGTAATACTTTTGAAAATCTGATTTCGACATGAATGACATATCAATATTAATAGGAAGAGTTAAATTTGTTAGAAAATTTTGAAAACGCTTATTAAGATTAGAGAATGCATCGTATGCATGTCGAAAATCAAGAAAATCAAATATTTCATAGATGATATCATTTGAAAGATCTTCAAAACGAATTATAGATTTCGTCAATGAACTGAAAAAGAGAAAGAAACTTTTTTCAAAAATATGATGTGAGAACTAACTTGTTTGAATCGGTTGTTGTCACTATACAAACAAAAATAAGATAATATGGAAACATTGATTAAAACTTACCGTTTAATCTTTTTCTTTTATTGTCATTACAATGATTAACATAGTTACTTTGTAATCGCTTTGGATATTCCATATTGAAATGATGTATAATCTCTCAAAAAAAGAAGAAAAAAAATGAACGCAATAAAAGAGAAATACAAGGTGAAAAAATTTGAAATAAACAAAAAAGTAAAATCTAGAAAACATCGATAATCCAAAAACGAAAACAAACGAAGATAAGTGAGAGAAAATGAAGACTGTCCATCTGTAATGTATCTTCATAGATGGCGATCCTAACAAATGTTTTACGCGTAAGTGAATCAAATTCATAGAATTGTTTTTCTATGTAGACGAAATAAAAATTGCTCGATAGTTCACGATTTTTGAGTCATCAACCATATGTTAATGTACTAATGATGAAAAACGGTGATACAATATATATATATAAGTCTTACCAGTTATTAATCCCAATGAGATTTTTTTCAGTGAGTCAAATAAAAATAGATTCATTCGATATAAATCATAGACAATTATACGAAAAAAAAAAAACGACTTTTTACTGTTCTTCATAGAACTAACAAAATATATTCAGAAGTTTAAGAAACAAAGAAATCAATGTTCATTTCTGTATTTCTCATGCATAATATGATTATGATTGTGAAACATTATTTGTTGTGTTACTCCACCTTTACTATTGAAATGTCTCGCTATAAATTGGAGATAGTTTGAAAGATGCAAATATTTTGAAGTGAAAAGTCTAACATGTATCAGCGTTTATATAAAAATACATAAAAATTACATGTTTGATTAACGACAATTCTCTCGACCATAGATAAATACTAGCATAAGACAATTGTTTTATTTGTTTCGTCAAATAATCATCTGAACTTTTTCTTGGTTCGATAAAACTATTCAATATGCTAACTATGTTCTTACATATATTTTTAACACATAAGAAGAATAACTGTCGAGTATTGATATTATCTTTCAATCAGAGATATTGTATAGTTGCTTGAAAATCATTCTTTGATGAACACATTGTAATCGAGGACATAGATGAACGAGTAATTTAATTTCTTATAATGTATATGCCTTCGTCATAATCAAATCAGTTATATTATTATTTTTTTGATACTAATTGAAACATTTCAGTTTGTTCAACAGACAGTAAATGTTTTCTATTCAAATATGTATAGTCAACTGTCAAGTTGTAAATATTAGGTGATAAACATAACAGTTCAATCAGTGTTTCAAAACGAAAACTTTCAACATTAATGTCATATTTAGTGAACTATTCTAAGGGGACCATACGACTGGAGGATGTGGGTATAGGTGTTCTTATGGATCATAATAATACCCACACCCACATTCTTACTTAAAGAGTCAAACTCATATGGAACAGAACTAAACAAATTCTGGGCATTTTTCTACTTTTTGGGAAAATGTAGAAAACAGAGGATTTTGAACTGGAATGTCTGATTCAATAATTAGCACATAGGGTTTATAGGAAATATAGGACTAATCTGAACCTAATTGATAATATGAGACAACAAAAGAAAGCTTTTGCTTTGATTAAAATGATAGATCTTTAAAATCAATAGAAGATTTTCATCTGTTTGTTGTTCATCTTTGTTCTATGACCAGAAAAGTTTTATTCAATTGAAATAAAATTAGCAGAAAAATCATTATTTTTTATATTTATAGAATAATTTGAGTAACCAAATTGAATAATTTTATCAAAACTTCTGAAGAATAAATTCTCTCTTTTCTGATAAATTGTTTGGAAGATTGTGCAAAAAACGAACCAGAATAAAATTCATGAAGAGATTTAAAAAGTAATATTNTACTCAATTTTACCTAATTACAAAAAATTATATCTCTGCAACCATTATATGTATAAAGATGAAACTTTCACAATATGTGTAAGTATTAGTCATAATTCATATCCTAAAATTTCAGCTCGATCGGTCTGGCGCAAAAAAAGTCGACTTTTCAATCTCTCTCATAATGTTTTTTGTAACTTTTCCTTCATCTATATTAGAGATTATCAATGAAAATAAATATGGTAAAGAGATTAAATAAATGAGAAGATTTTGAAAATCATTTTATTAAATATCATATAAAATAAGAGTTTTAACTCGAATTAATTTTGATATAATGCAGTTGTGTGTGAGAAATATATCAATAGAAAATGGATTTAATAGATGGAATGATTTAATTCTATGTGTATTATGTATAATAATTTGTTTGTAATACTTTTGAAAATCTAATTTAGACATGAATGACATATCAATATGAATAGAAAGAGTTAAATTTGTTAGAAAATTTTGAAAACGCTCTTTATGATTAAAGAATGCATCATATGCATGTCGAAAATCAAGAAAACCAAATATTTCATAGATGATATCATTTGAAAGATTTTCAAAATGAATTATAGAATTCGTCAATGAACTGAAAAAGAGAAAGATACTTTTTTTCAAAAATATTCTGTGAGAACTAACTTGTTTGAATTGGTTGTTGTCACTATATAAACAAAAATTAGATAATATGGAAACATTGATTAAAACTTACTGTTTAATCGTTTTCTTTTACTGTCATTACAATCATTAACATAGCTACTTTGTAATCGCTTTGGATATTCCATATTGAAATGATGTATAATCTCTGAATAACAGAAGAAAAAAATGAACACAATAAAAGAGTAATACAAAGTGAAAAAAAAATTTGAAATAAACAAAAAAGTAAAATCTAGAAAACATCGATAATCAAAAAACAAAAAAAATGAAGATAAGTGAGAGAAAATGAAGATTGTCCATCTGTAATGTATCTTCATAGATGGCGATCCTAAAAAATGTTTTACGCGTAATTTAATCAAATTCATAGAATTGTTTTTTCATGTATACGAAATAAAAATTGCTCGATAGTTGACAATTTTTGAGTCATCAACCATATGCTAATGTACAATTGATGAAAAATGGTAATTCAATATGTATATAAGTCTTACCAGCTACGAATCCCAATGAGATTTTTTCCAGTGAGTCAAATAAAAATAGATTCATTCGATATGAATTATAGATGATTATACGAAAAAAAAAGAGACAACTCTTCACTGTTCTTCATAGTACTAACAAAATATATTCAGAAGTTTAAGAAAAAAGAAATCAATGTTCATTTCTGTATTTCTCATGCATAATATGATTATGATTGTCAAACATTATTTTTTGTGCTACTCCACCTTTATTATTGATATTTCTCGCTATAAATCGAAGACAGCTTGATAAATGCAAATATTTTGAAGTAAAAAGTCTAACATGTATCGGCGTTTATTTAAAAAATACATGAAAATTACATGTTTGATTAACAACAATTCTCTCCATCATAGATAAATACTGGCATAAGACAAGTGTTTTATTTGTTTCGTCAAATAATTATCTGAACTTTTCCTTGGTTCGATAAAACTATTCAATATGCTAACTATGTTCTTACATATATTTTTGACACATAAGAAGAATAACTGTCGAGTATTGATATTATCTTTTGATAAGAGATATTATATAGTTGCTTGAAAATCATTCTTTTATGCACACATTGTAATTGAGGACATAGATGAAAGAGTAGTTTAATTTCTTCTAATGTATATATCTTCGTCATAATCAAATCAGTTATATTATTATTTTTTGATACTAATTGAAACATTTTAGTTTGTTCAATAGACAGTAAGTTTCTTCTATTCAAATATTTATAGTCAACTGTCAAATTGTAAATATTAGATGATAAACATAACAATTCAATCAGTGTTTCAAAACGAAAACTTTCAACATTAATGTCACATTTGGTAAACTATTCTAAGGGGACCATACAACTGGATGGTGTGGGTATAGATGTTATTGCGGGTCATCATAATATCCACACACACACACATCCTTAATTGAAGAGTGAAACTCATATGGAACAGAACTAAACAAATTCTGAACATTTTTCTACTTTTTGGGAAAATGTAGAAAACAGAGGATTTTGAACTGGAATATCTGATTCAATAAATAGAACATAGAGTTTATAGGACTAACCTGAGCCTAATTGATAAAATGAAACAATAAAAGAAAGCTTTTGCTTTGATTAAAATTCTAGATCTTTAAAATCAATAAAAGATTTTCATCTGTTTATTGTTCATCTTTGTTCTATGACCAGAAAAGTTTTATTCAATCGAAATAAAATTAGCAGAAAAATCATTAGTTTTTATATTTATATAATAATTTCAATAATCAAATTAAATAATTTTATCAAAAACTCCGAAGAATAAATTCTCTCTTTTCTGATAAATTGTTTGGAAGATCGTGCAAAAAAAACCAGAATGAAATTCATGAAGAGATTTAAAAGTAATATTTGTTGATAGAGTCCTGCTGAGTAAGGTTTTTTGGTGTCCTAACTCTATTCTACCCTTATAGGATAGGATTACTCTGAAGGACTCTAATTTTAATGATTTCTCTGTTTTATTTTATAAGAATAGTTTATAATGAAAAAGAAACCATTTTTCTCATGTAATAAAAAAACATAATCATCATTTAATATCTTTTGATTGAGTTTTAAAATTCGATTATTTAAAGAAAATAGACAAGTATATTTTAGATAAACATATTTTGTTAAGATAAAAAGACTCTTTTTGTTTTATTTTTCACTTATAAAATAGTGGCAATAACTCATATCTCTTCGTTTCATTTTATAGCTAACTGTTCTTTTTTTTTTATTGGTAATTTTATTGATAAGTCGTTCTAATCTTCTACACCTTTGATCATATTGATTGTAGAATACTTCCCGTTGTATGCTTCAAATCTGTTACTATAGATATGTCGAAGTTCAAATAATCTTTTACTTCATCTTGATAGTTCACTTTAAATGCCGTTGTCATACGAATTTTCAAACGTTTTAACTACTTAATAACATATTTTTACTTATTTCACCGATAGAATTTAAATGAAATTTCTGCTTTTGAAAAGAAGAATCTGTTCTTTTAGAAGAAACAAATATTTTTCTCTAGCGTTGATATTTCGAAAAATTTCTATAAAATTTCATTAACTTTATTTTTATATTCATGTAACAATCGATTTATGAACATAAATTAGAAAAGAGCTGTTAAGTTTTAATAAATTTTTCAAATATCAATCAATTATCTATTTTAAAAAAATTACAAAATATTCGCTCTTGTACTTTTACTTTTCAAATATTCATTAGTTGAATGTGGACTCAGATAACATATTTCATTTCTATACAAATCTAATAGATTGATCAAGAGAAAAAAAGCACTAGAATGTGCAAAGATTCGTTTGTTCACTTAAAAAAAAATATCAAAGTCATTTTTTCATCTCGATAAACAGTTTTGTGTTGATGCAAATACATCAATTAAGAAAATCATTAGAAAAGATAAATTTTAGATTTTGTATAAATGTTCATAAATGAGCGATATACGCAAAGCTACAACATACAACGCGGACAGCATGTAATACAAAAACAGTTATGAGACAGTGATGAACACATCATTTGAAGATCACTAAAAAAATTTGCTTTTTTACCAATTTTTTTTCTCGTACTTATTTCGCTATCATATTTTTTAAAAAGAAATATTTTATTTATCAACAATTACAGATGTCCAACAAGAGACAAATGCAAATTCATAAAAAAAAATGATTTATTTTATAAGAATATATTACTAAATATGAACCTGCTTAAAAAGGATATCTGTTGTTTTGTGCATATCTTTAAATTGATATCAATTCCAAGTTAGAGAAATCCTAACATTCTACTTATTCTGATCATAATCATTTCCATTTTGAGTTAGAAGGTTTTGATGTTTAAATGATAGATATATGCATTATTGATAATTTTCTAAGAGAAGTCTAGATTTGTCTTGACTCTCAACATCGAACTATTGAGTGGTCAAAAACATTGTTTCCATCGTGAATTTATTTTCGATTTCTCTGACACGATTTGACGACTCGTAATCTATCGAAGTTTCGATTACTTGAAGACAGCAAGTCCATAGGAAAGATAGTTTCGATCACTCGAAACTAATTGAAATATCGAGTGTTTCCTGGGACACACATATTGAAAAGCATAACTCTTATTTTTTATTTTAACTTAGTTTACATAAAAAGTCTTAGAAATTTTGTTTTTGAATGCTTGTTTTTTACTCTTATTGCATAATCCTTTTAGAGAATTTTGGTTTTCTACAAGTGTTTTCACGTAGTTTGATCATTTAAACAATATTATTTATTATTTACAACTGGAACAACGATAAAAAGTGAGTCTGAGGGTGTGGGTGGGTGTGGGTGTGCGTGTAGATAAAGGAAAGATTGACACCTCCACACGCACACATACCCCACACCCACGCGCCCCCCCACCCACCCACCCCCCCCAACCCCCAT